ATGCCATCCTCCTGCCTCAGCCTCCTGAGTAGCTGGAACTACAGGTGCCCGTCACCATGCCCGGCTAATTTTTTGTATATTTAGTAGAGACGGGGTTTCACCATGTTAGCCAGGATGGTCTCGATCTCTTGACCTCGTGATCCGCCCGCCTCGGCCTCCCAAAGTGCTGGGATTACAGGCATGAGCCACTGTGCCCAGCCCGAGATGGAGTCTTGCTCTGTCGCCCAAGCTGGAGTGTAGTGGCGCGATCTCGGCTCACTGCAAGCTCCGCCTCCCAGGTTCACTCCATTCTCCTGCCTAAGCCTCTCGAGTGGCTGAGACTACAGGTGCCCGCCACCATGCCTGATTTTTTGTATTTTTAGTAGAGACGGGGTTTCACCGTGTTAGCCAGGATGGTCTTGATATCCTGACCTCATGATCCACCTGCCTCGGCCTCCCAAAGTGCTGGGATTACAGGCCTGAGCCACCGCACCTGGCCAGTGGGTGGTTCTTTGTTTTTTTTTTTGTTTTTAAATTTTTATTTTATTGAGACGGTCTTACTCTGTTACCCAGGAGGGAATGCAGTGATGTGATCATGGCTCATTGCAGCCTCAAACTCCTGGGCTCAATTGATTCTCCCGTTTCAGCCTTCTGAGTAGCTGGGACTACAGGTGTGCACCACCATGCCTGTCTAATTTTTAACAATTTTTTTGTAGAGATGGGTTCTCCTTATGTTGCCCAGGGTGGTCTCAAATTCCTGGGCGCTCTCTCACCTTGGCCACCCCAAAGTCTTGGGATTACAGGAATGAACCACTGTAACCGGCCTCAATGGATGGTTTAAGCATAATTGTCCTCCATTAGATAATTTAGAGGCTAAGTTTATAGTTATACTGGTTTGGTATCAATCTATTACAATACCCTGATTTCTTTAAGAATGAGGAAAGTTGTATTCAATTAGTCTGGGTGCGGTGGCTCACACCTGTAATCCTGGCAATTTGGGAGGCCAAGGCATGTGGATCACTGGAGCCCAGGAGTTCAAGACCAGCTTTGGCAACATGATGAAACTCCATCTCTACAAAAAATACAAAAAATTAGCTGGGTGTGGTGCATCTGTAGTTCCAAGCTACTTGGAGGCTGAGGTGGGAGAACTGCTTGAGCCCTGATCTCACCACTATACTCCAGCCTGGACAACAGAGAAGCTGTCTCAAAAAAAAAAAAAGTCTGTTTTTAGTATTGTAGGTCAGTATTGGGTCCTTGAAATGTTATTTCAGTATTTATTAGTGGTAAAAATTGGCTTCTAGAGATGGGAAAATTCTGAACATAAGCCAGTTGAAGGCTTTAAATAGATATCTAGCCAATCTATATATGTGTTTTTTAAAATCTATGCATGTTATGTCTCGTTACCTTTTTGTAGTTTTTTAAAAAATTAATAGAGTTGTACATACTTTTTGGGTATATGTGATATTTTGATAGATGTATACAGTGTGATCAAATCAGTGTAACTGGGTTTTCTGTCACCTTGCATGTTGTGTTTTATGTTAATAACCATGTATTGAGTACCTACTGTGTGCCAGGAATTAAACACAGATACAAAGGACACAGTCCTGCTGGGGAGAGCCCATCCTAGTAGAAAAGATCAGTAGATAAACTAGATTTTTTGAGTAGAGTATGATGGGAGTGCAGGGTAGGGCTGCCTAAACCAATCTGGGAGTGAGAAGGTGACAAATTGAGTAGGAGTGAGCTGTATGAAGAAGGATAGGATTAAAGGCAACATTCCTGTCCCAGGAGGCAGTTGCTTAGTCCTGAGATAATATGGCAGAGTCAAAGTAGCTGAAGTAGAGGATGTAGGTTGGTGAACTGTGAGAACTGAGGCAGGAAAGCAAGGCAAGGTCATGAAGACCCTTGTCTTTCATACCAAGAAGTTTGAATTTTATCTTGAAGGAATAATGTTAGCTGCCAACTATTAAGGGTCTAGTGTGTATTGTAGTATCTAGATACAATAGATAGGTAGGATTGTATCATACCCATTTTACAGATGAGAAAATGGGTTTGGGAAGGTTAAATTTCTCAAGGCTGGAGCCAGGTTGGTTGGACTTTCACAGCTTGTGTCTTTATACTGTGTCATACAGCCTCCCCTTAAAGAAGGATTAGTCTTTTAGAAAGATCATTTTGCCAGTGTAGAGAAATAATTTACCAGGGGCGAGCCTGAATATATGAAAGAGCAGTTAGGAGCCTTTTGCAGCAATTCAGGCAAGCAATTGTGTGACCTGGAGGCAAAGCTCAGACAACACTGAGAGCTACTTAGGAAGTAGGTCCACCTGGATGTGGAGAATAAGGAGGTGTTTGATTGAGGAGAAGCGGTTTTAGGAGCAGGTATAGGCAGTTAATGAGTTGTGTTTGAAATGTTCAATTTATGCAAGTGAAAGTGCCTTGTAATTGGATGCAGAGGTACATGGATTTGGAAGGAGAGAGATTTGACTTGAGGTTTGTAGGTTTAGGCTTTGCCAATAGAAAAATGATTGAAGCAATTGGGTGAGATTAAAATAATTCATAGCGAATGGAGAGGAACAAGCTGAGAGCAGAAGCTTGAGGAACAACAGGCCCTTGATTATTAGCTTGGGAAGGACAGAGAAGGGTGATAACTAAAAGGGATTTGAGGGATTATGCAATGATGAAAAATACACACACACACATTATATATGTATATTAGAAGACAGTAAAGACTTGAGTTTATTCATATGCTGAAGAGATGTTTAAGTCCAGCGGTGAGAAATGGGGCCTTCAGAGCTGCCCCTACCCTGGGCCAAAGGACCCTTACAATTTGTCTGAATCACTTGAATTTAATGAGAGTGGACTGTGTGTGCGCTGTCTGTCATTGTCTACCCAGTGCCGCTTACCTACTAGGTGTTAAGAAACATGAAAGTGATGATTATTGGTGGAGCATGATCCCAGAAGTGGCAGGAAAATCTGAATCTAGATCCAAGAAGAAGGATTAACTTTGATGGGACAAGAGTTGGCTTGGGAAGAAAGTTAAAACTTGAAGTTTTGGATGCTTTGGGGAAAAGCTAGAAAGGACTGTTAGTGTAAGTGTGGGTAAGGTGCAGGTATGACAAGAGTTAGGGAGTGAGAGCAGAAAAGGATATGGTAGTTGGGGCATGTGGCAGAGGCTCCAGGTTCTTAGAGGTGGTACACTTCTGAGGGATAGGGTTTGGCCTGTCAGCTGTAATGGAATAGAGATAAAGATTTACCGGAGTTGGGACATTGGGACCCTGTGACTACAGCATATGAGAATGATTGTTGTTCTCATGGATACCGAAATAAACCAGGGGCTGGCATGTAGGAGGAACATTTCAAGGCAATAGGGAGGAACTAGGAAAATGTTGCTGGCCTCTCCCTCTGTTTACCATACTTGTAGAATGTCAGCCTTTAGAAACCAAATAGCTTTTTTTATTCCAAAAGTCTACAGGGCTGCAGCAGGGGATAAACGGTTAGGTTGCAGGGCTGTATGCCATGGATGTAGGGTGAAGCCTGTGGACCTTTCCTGGTATAGTATTTCTGAAGGTATAGCACAGAGAGAATTACAGAGAAAACCAATTGCATTGAAATGTGTTTTAAAAGTATTCTTAAGTTTGTCATACAGAAATTTGTGTGCTTCTTTATTAATACCTTAAAGACACAGCAGCAGGTCTGATTAAATAAATGCAGTGTAATGATGAACATAAATATCTTGATGAGCAACAAACTGTAATGTGCTATAAAAATATCTGTAGTTTGTATTGATACCAATTACAGGTACTACTAATGCTGTGATTTTTGGCCTGCATTCATGATTGAAGGAACTAGTGAATTCCAGTTAGAGTTTGGTAAAAATAAATAATGTAATTTATTTTCCATCTAAGTATGCAGACACCCCATAGTGTTCCCCCGGACAACGTCGACCTCAAGTTAAGAACCCCTGACCACTAGGGAAAGCTATCAATGGATTATTTTGTGAGAGATTTGAAGTTGCAGGGAAATCTGTTAATAAGAACATGAGTTCCTGAGAGCACAGTGGAAGAAGAAAGAACATTAGGAGTTTGGGTCAAGGAACATAAATCATGAATCATGGAATATTACAGAGGTACAGATGAGTTCTCTATTTTGGGAGTTGTATCAACGATCCTCTGTATCCTTGGGAGGCCAAGGGTAAAAGCATAATCGAGTTAGCTGACCTCAATCAAAGTTCCATAATCAACTCATTCTCATGGGGTCTAATCAGATGAGAGCTGCATTCGTGAATGCTTGATTAGACTGTTAGACTTGCCTTGGCTCAGAAATCCAAATAAGAGCGGTCAGAAGTAACAAGTATGCCACCTAAGAAATCCTTGCTGAGATGTAGAGGGGACAGAGTTAGCTGATTCCGAAGACATTTGACTGTTAGAAACAGCAGGAGAGCTCCTGTAGATGCAGGGAGAGCTTCAGACTCTTGCATGCTTCCTATGAAAATCTAATACCTGATTATCTGAGCTGGAATGATTTCATCCCAAAACCACACCCCCCAAGCCTCAACCCATCTGTGTGAAAATTGTCTTCTGTGAAACTGGTCCCTGGTGCCAGAAAGGTTGGGGACCTGCTGCTTTAGAGAATATATTTTATTTATTTATTTATTTATTTTATTATTTTTATTTTTTAGCCACATAAAAGGCAGCACACAGTAATTTCAAAATCATCTCCTGAACTTAGAATCGATGGGTCAGGGTAGACACCCTAAGTACATAGGTGAAATCTTCATTAATTGTTCACTTCTTAAGTACAAATTTAAATTAATAGATTGTGTACAGCAGTGTTTTTCCACATTTCCCTGGTAAGAATCATTTGGAGTGCTCTGTAAACACAGCTTCACTGGAGATTAATCCCATCAAATTGATTTAGTGGCTCTGGAATAGGCCAGTAATTTGGAAATTTTTATTTTTACAAATGCTTCCTGATGATGACCAAGTCCAAGGAAATTTGGGAAACACTGATCTGGAACATAACTTTTGGTTTTCTCTAAAGTTTTTAAGTCTTGAACTACTGATCATCTTAGAGATAACCCACTGAAAAGTCTTCTCCAATCCAGTTTTATGAAAGAAAACTCTTTAGAACATTTGGTTTGATAAAATTTTTTTCAAAGCACCAGAAGTATTTTACTTTGGCTTTTTAAATTTCTGGCCCATCCGTTCTAGTTCACATTTTCTTGAAGAATCCATCTTCTTTGAGTTGAGCTGTAGCAATCTAATCATTTTTTAAAAATAGTTGGTTTCTTATTAAAGATTTGTGACATTTACTAGCTGTTGCTTGCTTTTGTCTTGCTCCCATCTCCCTGAAACTTCTTAAGAAATGACTCAATATTCTGGCCTTTCCACCTTAAATCTCATACTGACCATGCCGTGTATGCCAGCCTGGATCTCATCGTTTTCTTTAACCGGTCCAACTCCCTTTGGTGTCCCAGTCAAGATAATATTTCCTTCCAAGGTCGTGATCTTAGAAACATGGTTGATGATGTCGGAGGATGGAAAAAATCATGGAGGATGTATCACCCTCCTGTCTTGAGTTCGCCGTTGACTTTGAGTCACAGCCTCAGGTTGGGAGGATCAGGGATCTTCTCCTTGGGCACAAACGTGCTGACTGGGCAGGAGGCCGTAAAGCTCTTAGCCAGAGCCCAGAGCAGCCCCTTCTTCTCACACTCGTCCTGCACGTCCCTGGCAGTCATGTCCAGGCACAGGGCATAGCTGCTAATGTAGTCCATAGCTGTGCGGCCATGCTTGCCTATCATCACACCCAACTCCAGCTTGTGTTGCAAGTTGGCGACTGTACGCGGGCATGCGGATGGGCGAGCCCTCAGGTGTATAGGCCATGGACAGTTTCAGGAACAGCATGGGCTCATTCAACACTGCGCTGTCATCTCCCTGGCGTGGTCCCCGTAGTTCCTCCCCACGCAGATGATATTCTTCCCCACCCCAAGAATCGGGACAGTGGCCTGGGGGTCGCCATGATTCCTGCCAATTGCCTAGAGAATATATTTTAATATGAGGATATTAAACATCTGTATCAAAGATATTCCTTCAGAGAATTTAGGATTTGGAAGAAACCTTATAGTCATTAACTGTAATGTTGCATTTTGTGGAAAATCCTGTTGATAGAATCCCTGAAGGATGGCTGTTTAACCTTCCCAGAAATACTGCTATTGAAAGAGAGCCTGGACCGTGCATAGACATCTCTTTATATTGAGCCATAAAAATTTGTTATTTATAATTTCTATCTAATAGTTGTTTGAAGTTGAGATTTTATAGGCAAACAGAACACACTCTAGCTACTATATTGTTGTTCTAAAATAGCGTCTATGTATATTTTTCTGTCAGGTAATATTAATCAGTCACTAATGACGCTAAGAACATGTATGGATGTCCTGAGAGAGAACCAAATGTATGGAACTAACAAGGTAAGCAGCAACCTTCTCTGATCTTTTGTGTAGTTTCATTTGTGTGCATTTTTTTGCTCTGATCTTTTGTGTGGTTTCATTTGTGTGCATTTTTTTGTGTAACACATTTGGATTTGAATGTCTTTGTAGATGGTTCCATATCGGGATTCAAAGTTAACCCATCTGTTCAAGAACTACTTTGATGGGGAAGGAAAAGTGCGGATGATCGTGTGTGTGAATCCCAAGGCTGAAGATTATGAAGAAAACTTGGTAATTTTAATGTAGTTGTCCTATAAAGTCTTGAGTTTTTCTTGGGAAAAGTTATTTGGATGAGAAGAATGATATTTTGAATGTTTTATAAATTGATAGAGAACCATTGATTGTAGAAGTAAAGTAGGCTTGGTGTGGTGGCTCATGCTTCTAATCTCAACACACTGGGAGGCTGAGGTGGGGTGATCAGTTGGGCCTACCCGGGAGGTTGAAGCTGCAGTGAGTCATGTTCATGCCACTGCACTCCAGCCTGGTGACAGTGAGACTGTGTCTCACATAAATGAAAATAAGCAATCTTTGTTTCATGTAGTCATTTCTGGGACTTGGATATCCTTATTTTTTTTTAAACTCCATTTGTTTTGTGTTTTAGCAAGTCATGAGATTTGCAGAAGTGACTCAAGAAGTTGAAGTAGCAAGACCCGTAGACAAGGCAATATGTGGTTTAACGCCTGGAAGGCGATACAGAAACCAGCCTCGAGGTCCAATTGGAAATGGTATGATTTGGTGTCGTATCATTTGTTCACTCATCGGTCTGTCTCTTTCTCTCTTTTTTCAAAAAAATTATTTCATATAAGAGAAATGTTTACATACCTTCTGAAAAACCAAGCACATAGTAATTTGAACAAAATTTAAATGAGCTTATTTTGCATACTATGATTCTCATTTTTAGGGAAGTAAACTTATATCAGCTCAAGAAATTGCAATGGTTAGTTGGACTGGGGCTGTATTCAGTGTTAAACTTGTTTAAATAAGCTCTTTCTCTCCTATGTAACTTTTTGTAATTTGCTGTAATTCAATACAGAACCATTGGTTACTGACGTGGTTTTGCAGAGTTTTCCACCTTTGCCATCATGTGAAATTTTGGATATCAACGATGAGCAGACACTTCCAAGGCTGATTGAAGCCTTAGAGAAACGACATCACCTACGACAAATGATGATTGATGAGTTTAACAAACAATGTAAGGGCAAAACTATTTGCAATAATTTTATTTAATTAATTTTTTGTTTTGTTTTTTTGAGACACAGTTTCACTCTGTCCCCCAGGCTGGAGTGCAGTGGCACAATCTCAGTTCACTGCAACTTCCGCCTCCCGGGTTCAAGCGATTCTCCTGCCTCAGCCTCCCAAGTAGACTACAGGCACATGCCACCATGCCTGGCTAATTTTTGTACTATTAGTAGAGACGGGGTTTCGCCATGTTGGCCAGGCTGGTCTCAAACTCCTGACCTCAAGTGATCCGCCCGCCTCGGCCTCCCAAAGTGCTGGGATTACAGGCATGAGCCACCACTCCCGGCCAGTTTGCAATAATTGTAACTTCTGAAATTGAATGTATTTTCAATGAATCTGAGTTTATATGGTAGATTGCATCTTTAAGAAAGTTAAAGAAAATTGTGTCTTGGTACCTTTGAAGGACTCAAGGCATTGTTTGATTAGAATGACAAGGGATTTTTCCACAGCTCTTTTTTGTATTCTAAGGAAGTCAAAAAGAAAAAAGTGAGCGTGTGTTCTTTCTTTTGTTTTTTACCAACAGTAGTGGAGACACAAAGAAATATTTTTTAGTTTCCCCTGTCTACATAGTAGGGATTGTAATTGTTTCTACCTTAGGATGTGTTGTAAAGATAAATAAGATAAAGTATGAAGATTCTGTATAACAGTAAACTCTGGTACATAGTGAACGTATCTCAGTGAATGAATGTATCTACTTTTTTTTTTTTTTTGAGACTGAGTCTCGCTCTGTTGCCCAGGTTAGAGTGCAATAGTGCAATCTTGGCTCGCTGCAACCTCCTCTCCCAGGTTCAAGCAATTCTGCCTCAGCCTTCTGAGCAGCTGGGATTACAGGTGCGCGCCACTGCACCCAACTAATTTTTGTATTTTTAGTAGAGACGAGGTTTCACCATGTTGGTCAGGCTGATCTCAAACTCCTGACCTCGTGATCCACCCACCTCAGCCTCCCAAAGTGCTGGGATTACAGACATGAGCCACCACGCCTGGCTCTACTATTTTTATTATCATTATTCATTTGAATCTTTACCAAAAAGTTGTGAGATAAAGTGGTATTTAAATTTCCATCCTGAAATGAAATTTGCTCAGAAATATTAATTAACTTGCCTAAGTCATAACTAGTAAGTGATGTACGAGGGATTTCAGCTCAGGTTTAATTAATCCCAAATACAGTGTTATTTCTATTTTGCATTTGTTGTTGTGAAGCAAAGTACCTGTAAGGATTGGGAAGAGAATGCTATAGTGACAATGAAAGACTTGAATATTTTTTTTAGCATTTAACAGAAAGCTTCTGTGACTATCTTGTCAATTTGAGAATTAAGCTCCTGATTTCCCTCTAAACTTGTTTTCTCATTATAGACTGATTCTCACAGAGATTTGCTGAATAACTACATTTTATCTAGTGTCTGCTAACAAGTTGCTATCATTGTTTGTTTTAGAACTGGTGTAAAACTTGGCCTGTATGTTTTTGTTTCAGCTAATGCTTTTAAAGCTTTGTTACAAGAATTTGACAATGCTGTTTTAAGTAAAGAAAACCACATGCAAGGGAAACTAAATGAAAAGGAAAAGATGATCTCAGGACAGAAATTGGAAATAGAACGACTGGAAAAGAAAAACAAAACTTTAGAATATAAGGTTTGTTTTGACATTATTATGATAGATGTATGTGCTGGTGTTTTAGCACTGGTCTCTGAGGGAGCTATTGTGCTCCAACGGCCTGTAAATGCTGCTCATTAAGAGTTCTTGGTCGGGTGCGGTAGCTGTAATCTCAACACTTTGGGAGGCTGAGGTGGCCAGATCATCTGAGGTCAGGAGTTCAAGAACGAGACTGGCCAACATGGCGAAACCTCGTCTCTACTAAAAAAGTACAAAAATTAGCTGGGTGTGATGGCGAGCGCCTGTAATCCCAGCTATTCAGGAGGTTGAGGCAGGAGAATCGCTTGAACCCAGGAGGTGGGGGTTGTAGTGAGCCAAGCTTGAGCCATTGCACTCCAGCCTGGGCGACAAGAGCCAAGACTCCGTCTCAAGAAAAAAAAAGGTTTCTCAGGCTGAGTGCAGAGGCTCATGCCTATAGTCTCAGTACATTGGGAGGCCAAGGCAGGCAGATCACTTGAGCCCAGAAGTTCCAGACCAGACTGGGCAACATGGCGAAATCCCATATCTACAAAAAAATTAGCCAGGCATGGTGGTGCACACCTGTAGTCCCAGCTACTCAGAAGATTGAGATGGGAGAATAGCTTGAGTCTGGGAGGTTGAGGCTGCAGTGAGCTGGGATTGCACGACTGCACTCCAGCCTAGATGACAGAGCAAGAGCCTGTCTCAAAAAAAAAAAAAAGTTCTCAATTGGTTATTTACTAATCCTCATCCCATGCTAAGGAGGAAATGTGAGTGAAATGAAGAATCATATGTTCTTTAATTTTATGAGAGTTTTAACAGTTGAAAAGGATATTCTCTGACCCAAACAAGGGAGCTTTCTAGAGCTTAGCTTTGGTTGTAGCTTGCTTTTTGATTTATTAGAAATATTTCCTTAGTATGCTGTTTTTAATGAGATAAATGATTAAATGAAATGGTATAAAAGTGCCAGCATAGTACCTTGGACATAACAGATACTCAGTAAAGCTTAATTTGATCTGTATTTGGTTTACAAATCAGATTGTAAAAGTATAAACTCAGGATTAATCTCTTACTATGGGGTAGAAGGGAATACCATTTTGTTGAGAAGCATTGCAGCACTATGTAATATATGTTTGTTCTCTCATTTACAGAGGGTCATTTAGAGGTTTGGTGGGGGTACACATTCATAAGAGAAGTTAGTCTCAACCAATATAGTCTTTTTTTAATTCTGAAAATAGCCTAAAAACTCAATTTTAGGCATTCATTTTAGAAGAAAGTAATTTTCACATGAAATTAGTTATAAATGTCTCTGAGTGAGGAACTTGTTTAACGTGTTTTCATTTCTGAGAATGGGGGTGGGAATTCAGATGAAATGTTAGAGAAAAAAGTGCTTTCTCCATGATTTTTCTTTCCACAAATATGCTTGTATAAGCAAATTAAGGAAGATTATTTTATAGTGACATGAAATGTTTATATGCCAAATATTGAACATAGTGGTCTACCTTCCTAGATTGAGATTTTAGAGAAAACAACTACTATCTATGAAGAAGATAAACGCAATTTGCAACAGGAACTTGAAACTCAGAACCAGAAACTTCAGCGACAGTTTTCTGACAAACGCAGATTAGAAGCCAGGTTGCAAGGCATGGTGACAGAAACGACAATGAAGTGGGAGAAAGAATGTGTGAGTGTCATTTGGGTAGTGCTTGCCTCAGAGTCGGATGATTTATTTTACATTGTAGTTAGGTTCAATATTTTGAATTATTGTATTTGTGGTAGGGTTTTGGTGATGGTTGTTAACTCTCAGGAAGAATTGGAGAACTGTCATTTTTAGGAAATAAAGTGATTGGCTAATCTGGTATACTCGTTTGCTGTGATTGAATGATAATATACATTGCCATTGATAATCTGTAGGAGCGTAGAGTGGCAGCCAAACAGCTGGAGATGCAGAATAAACTCTGGGTTAAAGATGAAAAACTGAAACAACTGAAGGCTATTGTTACTGAACCTAAAACTGAGAAGCCAGAGAGACCCTCTCGGGAGCGAGATAGAGAAAAAGTTACTCAAAGATCTGTTTCTCCATCACCTGTGCCTGTAAGTTATTTGTAATTGTGTAGTAACTTTGTACTACAGATATTTTGTTCAGATTAGATGACTATTTCTATGAGAATTTTTACATTTTATAATACTTACATTTCTGAAATTTCTCTTTAAAAATATTTTAAAATTTAGAATAAACACAAATTTAGCACAAAAAATTAGTACAAATAATTATTTGTAATGTTAAGTCTTCATGTGCTAACATTATAGAAAAGTAATGAATTGTTTCTCTCAGTTTTTCAGTCTTGCTCATTAATTTTTCTCCAATTTTTCTAGCTTTCTAGTAACTATATTGCTCAGATTTCCAACGGCCAGCAACTCATGAGCCAGCCACAGCTACATAGGCGCTCTAACTCTTGCAGCAGCATTTCTGTAGCTTCCTGTATTTCGGAATGGGAGCAGAAAATTCCTACGTACAACACACCTCTCAAAGTCACATCTATTGCAAGGCGTAGGCAGCAGGAGCCAGGACAAAGCAAAACTTGTATCGTGTCAGACAGAAGGCGAGGGATGTACTGGACTGAAGGCAGGGAGGTGGTTCCTACATTCAGAAATGAGATAGAAATAGAAGAGGATCATTGCTGCAGGGTTAGTGCCAGTATTATTTTAACACATTGTAGCAATAGATTTTATCTTCTTTGTTTTTTGTAACTTGTGTCTGAAAGTTCATTGGAAAAATGGTTGGGCTATAGTATAAAAAAGGTCTGATTTCTCAGTTAATTTGAAAGATTGACTCACTGAAATTGAGGCCTGGCTCTTCATCTGAAAAAGCCTAAACATATCTGGCAGCAGAAGTGTGTTCAGTGAATACAGGTCAATTTGGTGCATGCCAGAGTAGTGTGAGCTTTTCAGTTGCATAAGCTAATAAGCTTTGCACAAAATTGGTTACTGTGTTTTAAAGCATACTTTCCATATTTTTCTTTTGGTTCCCCTTCCCCAAATTAGATTTTTTTGTACCTCCTTTCGAGCCCTAGTTTTAAAAATTGTTTTCCCAAATTTTTATTTTGAAAAATTTCAGACCCAAAGCAAAGTAGAAAGAATAGTATGGTAATGTCTTTCCCTCCTTGCCTACGTTTACCAGTTGTTACTTCATGTAGATACATAAACTTTATTTCCCTAAGCCTTGTAAAAGGAAATCACAGACTTAGAGACACTTAATCTCTAAGAATAAGGACATTGTACTACCTAGCCACAATCTTTATCACATCCAAGAAAATCAACATTAATTAAATAATTATCCTCTATTGGGACATGCATTTGTCCCAAAATTGGCTTTTCTTTTTTAAGACAGGGTCTCACTCTGTCACCCAGGATGGAGTGCAGTGGCATGATTATGGCTCACTGCAGCCTCAGTCTTCCTGAGCTGAAGTCATCCTCTCACCTCAGCCTCCCGAGTAGCTGAGACTACAGGCATGCCACCACGCTGATTTTTTATTTTCAGTAGAGACAAGGTCTCACCATGTTGCCCAGGCTGGTGTTGAACTCTTGAACTCCAGCAATCCTCCTGCCTTGGCCTCCAAAGGTGCTGAGATTACAGGCAAGCCACTGTACCCAGCCAGCTTTTTTGTCAATCCATGATATGAAAGTGTATGCATTGCATATCATGATTATGTCTTTTATCTCTTTTAATATAAAATAGTCTCACCCTGTCCCCCTACTTTTTTTATTTTTGTGACATTGACTATTTTCACTGAAGAGTCTAGGCCAATTATTTTAAAACTACTGATTTCCATGCCCAATAAATTGCTTTTAATCGAGGCATTTATCTCAATTAACAAGGACTTTGTCTCACATTCAAGGGTATTTAAATAAATTCACTTTCATATTTCTCTTCTTAAAGATTAAGGTAAAGTTTCTTTTGAATCTGAATAAATGGACCAAGTTAATGTTTGTGGATTTTATATTTAGTAAAATCTTAACAAAGCTCTTTTAGAATTTTTCTTCTAAATCTTACAGTAAACATTTACTTTAGATTTTCTTATATAAGTCAGGGTATAGATGAATGTTCATTTAGGTGGCCCAAATTCCTGATTATTAAGGGATGGTGATGAATCCCAAGTTATTTACCAGGGAAACCAATGATTCTAAGGTCTGTTAAGTTCTTTACTTTGCAGATTTTTCCTTAAACATTTTTAGACAGCAAATTAGGTAAATGGTCATTCTGACCAACTCTAGTAAGTCATTTTATGACAGTTTATAGGCTGAAAACTATTCAAGCCTTGTTTATGCCTTGCAAACAGTAATGAGATATCTAATTTGGCTATGAGATATTTAAGGGAATTTACTAGAGATTCTTACGTGAAATCAAACTATTTAGAAGTGCAGCAGAAAAGTTACTATAAGGTTAGTATCTGTGCGTCTAAGTTTGTTGGTCAAAAATTATGTCAAGTGGACTAAATTTATACTTGAGTGAGGAAAAAAATTTAAATATTTATTTCATAAATGCTAGTAGATCGTATGAATTATCATCTTTCCGAAGCTTGTTTCATCATATGTTTACTGTTAAATGTTTGAAGAAAACCCTCGCTTTTGCTAAATGGTAGATGATAAGGACCAGACTTTCGTGTTCAACATTAAATAAATCATTGTTAGAATGAAATGTTTCCTGTTTGTCTTGAGGCTCAGCATCTTTAATGGCAAACTGTATTGCCCATGTCTTGGAGCTGTCACTAGTGCTGCATTTGTATGACTATATAGGGAAAATGATTCAGTTCCTCAGATGTGCATTTTGAAATTGAGGTCTTCATACTTGACTAGCTTTGACGGATTTGGCCTGTGATAGACTTTTTCCATTTGCTTTCAGTTTTGTTTTTTGGGGTTTTTTTGTTGTTGTTTGTTTGTTTGTTTGGTTTTTTTTGAGATGAGGTCTTCATCTGTTGCCCAGGTTGGAGTGCAGTGGCATCATCTAGGCTCACGGCAGCCTTGACCTTCCAGGCTCAAGCAATCGTTCTACCTCAGCCTCCTCAGCAGCTGGGACCACAGACATGTGCTATCACACCTGGCTAATTTTTAAAATTTTTGTGGAAATTTACACAACATTTAAATTTTTTGTAGAAATTTGTAGAAATCACCCGAGACGAAAAGACGCCCGAGAAATTCTTCTTACGTTGCCTAGGCTGGTCTTGGGTGATCCTTCTCCTACCTCAGCCTCACAAATGTTAGAATTACAGGTGTGTGCCACTGCACCCAGCCCCGTTTTCAGTTTTACAAACAGGAGATGTTCTTCAAACTATAACTATGGCATATATGTGAAATATTATTTTCTTAGGCTGAATGTGCTTAACTTAACTTTGCCAGATTTACATGACATTTGACCAGAAGCAACTTGTTTGTTTTTGAGGCAGGGTCTCATTCTGTTGCCCAGGCTGGAGTGCAGTGGTGCGATCTTGGCTCACTGCAATTTCCACCTCCTGGGCTCAAGTGATCCATCCACCTCAGCCTCCTGAGTAGCTGGGACTACAGGCACGTGTCACCAAGCCCAGCTAATTTTTTTGTGTATTTTTTTGTAGAGTCTGGGTTTCACCATGTTGCCTAGGCTGGACTTGAACTTCTGAGTTCAATTGATTCCTCCACCTCAGCCTTCCAAAGTGCTGAGATTACAGGCATGTGCCACCATGCCTGGCCTGGCAACTAGTTTTTTATTGTATGATAAGAGACTGATTTGACGCTGTATTATTTATTTGTTTCTTGGAACCTGTATGAAATGTTTGGGGGAAAAATTAGTTGGTATATTGTAGCCATTATTGTATTTGAACTTTTCATGAAGTTCTGTTTTGAGGTTTTAAAATCTTAACTGAAAGCACTCAGAAGTATTTCACATTTCTTTAATCATTTTATTCATATGGTTCTTATTATACCTTATGTTCTTTGGATTGTTTTCTGTTTTGTTTAGAAACCTAGAAAATGTATAGGGCTTTCATTGATCTTATTGAAGATTTTAACAGAGTTGTGGACGTAATAGATTACCTCTCAATAGCAGGGATAAATAATGGTTTTTGATCAAAAATATGAAATGAGTTGTTTGTCCTGAATGACCCCCAAGCAGGAAAGACTTGCAGCATTACCAGAATTTTTTCTTTTATCCTTTGTTGAAAGGGAAACTCCCAGGTAGAATGTGTAACATACAAGTTGGCATTAAAGATGTTTGTTGGTTTTGTGTTTAAATGCAAAGATGTTTAAATTACTTGAATAAAATATTTAGCTTTGGAAAGGTTTGCTATGATACTGTCATCAACTAATGTAGCCGAACCTGCTGCACTTCTAATAATACCCTTTAATTAATTATGGGTTATGCTTGTTTCTCAGTTCCTCTTTCAACCTGATCAGAACGCACCACCAATTCGTCTCCGACACAGACGATCACGCTCTGCAGGAGACAGATGGGTAGATCATAAGCCCGCCTCTAACATGCAAACTGAAACAGTCATGCAGCCACATGTCCCTCATGCCATCACAGTATCTGTTGCAAATGAAAAGGCACTAGCTAAGTGTGAGAAGTACATGCTGACCCACCAGGAACTAGCCTCCGATGGGGAGATTGAAACTAAACTAATTAAGGTAAACTAATTTTCACGGGAGAAAAAAATATATTAAAAAATTCAACAAAAGTCAATTTGTCCTGCTACTCCTTTAGTGGCACACAGGCAGTGTCAACTGGAACATCAATGAGTATTTGATATAACCTTTTTGTTAGCAGAAAATTAGTCACTGCTTAGGTTTTAAGTCTGCCAAAGTGGGACTAAGTATGCTTTAAATAGGTGTAGATTCTTCAGTTTCTTAGAATTCTAGATCCATGATGTACTTTAATTTTTAATGACTATATTTAGTTTTAACCACGACTTAAAAAGTAAATCTAAGCAAAGAACTCCCATTGCTCTCTGTCAGTTCAAGATAAAAAAACAAAAACAAAATAAAACAAAATCTATGTTAAAATTTGACCCATCAAAATTACTCAGTATTGAGCTGCCTAAAGCTGTTTTGAAGAGACTTGCTTGCCCATAGAAGAATTCTCCTTTGATCATAAGAGTCAGTGAATAATCAGGAAAGTAAAAGATAATACCAAAAAAAAAAAACTTTTTATTTCAAGTTCAATTTAGAGTTTTTGTTCTTATAATTAGCTACAAATGAGACTATACTGTCATTTGAATATGGGCAACAGGGGGCACTCAGAGAAGAAAGTGCCATGTCTTAGAGCATGTAGAAATTTCCAGCAAATTTCTTGATCCTTAGTGCAGTTTAGTTTTTAAATTACAGGTAGAGCAAAAGAAATATTTTTTTCTGCAATTATGAATGTCACTGATTACATTGTATTGGACTTCTTTTGTTTGTGAGAGATACATACTCAAATTTCTAAATTATTTTGATAGTACAGACTCAGCAAGTACCAAGTACCATCTGATTTTGTGGATGGGAATTTCTATAAAATAGAATCATGAGAACAATTTGAAATATATATGTGTGTTTTTCATTTGGGTGTATCAACGTGTAACAGTGACCTTTTCTTTTGACTTTAGGGTGATATTTATAAAACAAGGGGTGGTGGACAATCTGTTCAGTTTACTGATATTGAGACTTTAAAGCAAGAATCACCAAATGGGTAAGTAACCATCAAAAATCTCTGTATAAAAGTTGGTCATTTTCTTCGCTGCTTATTTCTGAGGAACAGAACAGCCTGTGAAATGTATCATTAATTCTCCAAAGGGATGTAGATAGTATTTCCCTACCTCTAATATTTTTCCTCTTCTTAGATGCAAAAATAATTGTTGCATCATGTTTCCCCTTTTTCAGTAGTCGAAAACGAAGATCTTCCACAGTAGCACCTGCCCAACCAGATGGTGCAGAGTCTGAATGGACCGATGTAGAAACAAGGGTAGGGGAAAAATTAAATATTTCTCTGCTTACTAAAATTAGGTTTGTCACGTTTTAAACTCCACAGCTCTAGATTTTTATGCTCTTTGAAAACGCTGAGGTATAATCTCACATTGCCAGTGCACCATGTAGGCCTATTCCTAGAATAACAAGAATCCACTTCATCAGGAACCCCCTTGCAACTGTTACTCCTGAGGAGAAGCTCTTGGAAAGAACATGGGAAGGTAGGGGTCAGGAGGCTAAGCTATGGCCTTAGCCACCAACTCTCTTCACGAACTTATCTAAAATGAGATGAGTTACCTAGATGACCTCTAAAGACCCTTCTGACTCACAACATTTGTGGCCTGTGCCAGAAATAAATTACAAGTGACTGATGTTTTACAATAAGAGTCTTTGCTGAACTAGAAAGCAATACTGCATTTCACTTAGGTGTAGAGCCCACTGAATAACTGTATTTTATAGACTATTGAGAGGAGCTGATCTTTTTCCTCTTGTCATTTTCCTCTCAGTGTTCCGTGGCTGTGGAGATGAAAGCAGGATCCCAACTGGGACCTGGATATCAGCATCACGCACAACCCAAGTGAGCACTGACTGTAACTGGGGTCTTGCTGTGTGCTTTTTTCCTCCTTTGGTCTTTACGTTGTTCTACCATCTATCCACTTGTTGTTCAGAACAAATATATGGTTTTGGTTTTCCCCTTGGACGATCTGGGCCCCCACAGGAAGACTGCAGTAGGCAGCTGGAATACTGAGAGCCTCAGAAGGCTGGATAAGAGCAATCAGAGCTGCAAGGCAGGCGGTGGGGGAAGATTGGTGGCTCTTGTTCATATTCTGCCAATGCTCATAAAGCTTTCTGAGGCCGAACTGAGAGTACCTCTAAGGAGGGAAGGCTAAAGGCTTAAGTTGGGGACTAGACAGCTTTGTGTAAATCATTGTTTTCTGACTTGCTTCTTGGTCTTGGTGTAGCAATAAGTGTTCACTAAAATAAATAACACTGAATGGAAGAATTTATAGTAGGGAAGGAATTGTACCTTTTCCTCTTCTGTTAAACTCATACTCAGGAGTCTGACCCAGTCTTTTTCCATATTTTAATAAAATCCCTTCTTTACAAATACATGCATTCATATATAAAATGTTATAAACGTATATATACATATATACGTAGATATAACATTTTAAACATTTACATTCCTTAACGAGCAATTTAGAAGATTGTTGCAGCAGGATAAAGATGGGAAATCCTGTTTTCTAAATTTAATACTAAGATAAGCATATTTTATAAAAGTTGTTTGCTTTCTCAGAGGGACTTCTCAAAGACCTTCTAAAGATTGATTTGCTATGAATGTGTTACTAATTGCAAAGTTCAACTCTAAGTGCTGGTTGTTGTGTTTTAGGCGCAAAAAGCCATGAACTGACAGTCCCAGTATTGAAAGAACATTTTCATTTGTGTGGATGATTTCTCGAAAGCCATGCCAGAAGCAGTCTTCCAGGTCATCTTGTAGAACTCCAACTTTGTTGAAAATCACGGACCTCAGCTACATCATACACTGACCTAGAGCAAAGCTTTCCCTATGGTTCCAAAGACAACTAGTATTCAACAAACCTTGTATAGTATATGTTTTGCCATATTTAATATTAATAGCAGAGGAAGACTCCTTTTTTCATTGCTGTATGAATTTTTTATAATGCTTTGTTAAAATATATTTCATGTATACTTATAAACTAATTCACACAAGTGTTTGTCTTAGATGATTAAGGAAGAATATATCTAGATCATGCCTGATTTTTTTATTGTGACTTTTCCAGCCCTGGTCTGAATTTCTTAAGGTTTTACAAACAAATGCTGCTATTTATTAGCTGCAAGAATGCACTTTAGAACTATTTGACAATTCAAACTTTCAAAATAAAGATGTAAATGACTGGCCAATAATAACCATTTTAGGAAGGTGTTTTGAATTTTGTATGTATATATTCACTTTCTGACATTTAGATATGCCAAAAGGATTAAAATCAAAAGCACTAAGAATTACGTAGTTGTGTGATGGCCGTTCATTCAGCACGTCCTCCCAGCATCTGGCACAGTGGCCTGCATTCACCTGGCACTCATTGTTTGTGGGACAAATTGAAAGATAGCACTAAAAAATACAAGATAATATGTTAAATGGACAGTGCCTTTTTTATGTGACAACCATAATTATCTACATATTAAGTATGACTTCTAGACATTTAAACAAAAAACATTGGGGACAACATAAATTAGAAAAAATACTGTCGAAACTATGGTGAAATATCCCATTGCATGGGTGAACACACATTTTACTTGAATTTAATTTGGATTTGAGGCTGATTTTTTTTTTTTGAGGTGGAGTTTCGCTCTTGTTGCCCAGGCTGGAGTGCAATGGCACGATCTTGGCTCACCGCAACCTCTGCCTCCCGGGTCCAGGCAATTCTTCTGCCTTTTGTATTAGTAGATTATTCTGCTAATTCTGTATTTTTAGTAGAGACAGGGTTTCTTCATGTTGGTCAGACTGGTCTCGAACTCCCAATCTCAGCCGCCTGCCTCGGCCTCCCAAAGTGCTGGGATTACAGATGTGAGTCACCGTGCCCGACCACTTTTTTTTTTTTTTTTAACTAAAATGATAGTTTAATATTTTGTTATTCATAATAAAAGTGTGGTATTAGTCCTTGCCAAAAGCTGATTCAAAAGTTAAGGGAGAAGATAAAATGCACTAGTCACTCACAGTATAGTAGTAAACAATGTCATATATGTGTTTGTGTGTGTGTGTGTTGAGTTTTTTTGGGGGGGGGGAGGGGATGGATTTTTTGCTTTTACTGCCCAGGCTGGAGTGCAATGGCGTGATTTCAGCCACCACAACCTCCGCGTCCCAGGTTCAAGCAATTCTCCTGCCTCAGCCTCCCCAGTAGCTGGGATTACAGGCATCTGCCACCAGGCCCAGTTAATTTTGTATTTTTAGTAGAGACAGGGTTTCTCCATGTTGGTCAGGCTGGTCTCAAACTCCCAACCTCAGGTGATCAGCCCTTCTCAGCTTCCCAAACTGCTGGGATTACAGGCGTGAGCCAACACACCTGGCCTATATGTGTGTTTTTAGAATGCTTCAGAACACTAAGCGTTAAATTGCTATTGTAGTAGATACAGAATTTATTTCTTGATTTTCTTGTTTTTAATTTTTTTTCAGAAACAGGGTCTTGCTCTGTTGCACAGGCTGAAATGCAGGAGTGCAATCATGACTCACTATAACCTCAAACTCCTGGACTCAAGTGATCCTTCTGCCTCAGCCCCCCAAGTAGTTGGGACCACAGGTGCTCAGCACCATGCCCAGCTAATTAAAAAATTTTTTATTTTTGTAGAGATGGGGTCTTGCTATGTTGTCCAGGCTGGCTTTTTTCTTACTTTTTTGAGATGGGATCTCATTCTGTCACCCAGAAGGGAGTGCAATGACATGATCACAGCTCACTGTAGTCTCAGCCTCCCAGGCTCAAGCAATCCTCTCAGCCTCTCGAGTAGCTGCAACTACAGGCAAATGCCGGCACATCTGGCTAATTTTTTATTTTTGTAGAGATGGGGCCTTGCTCTGTGGCCTTGTCTAGTCTCAAACTCCTGACCTCAAGCAATCCTCCCAACCTGGCCTCCCAAAGTGCTAGGATTACAGGCATGAGCCACTGTACCCAGCCTGCTTTTTAAATTATTATTTAACAGAGACAGCCTGGGCATGGTGGCTCACACCTGTAATCCCAGCACTACAGGATGACTTGAGCTCAGTTCGAGACCAGCCTGAGCAACATGCTGAAATCCCATCCCTACAATTTAAAAATTAGCCATGCATGGCGGCACATACCTGTAGTCCCACCTACAGGGGAGGCTGAGGTGGGAGGATTGCCTGAGCCTGGGAGGCAGAGGTTGCAGTGAGCTGTGATGGCGCCACTGTGCTCCAGCCTGGGCAATGGAATGAGACCCTATCTCAAAAAAAAAAAAAAAAAAACACAAAGTAATAGGGACTGGGTCTCACTATGTTGCCCCAGGCTGGTCTTGAACTCCTGGGCTCAAGCAATCCTCCCGCCTTGGCCTCCCCAAAGTACTTGAATTGCAGGCATGAGCCACCATGCCCTGTCCCAACCCACTTAAAAAAAAAAAAAATTTAGCCAGACGCAGTGGTTCACGCCTGTAATCCCAGCACTTTGGGAAGCCAAGGTGGGCGAATCACCTGAGGTTAGGAGTTTGAGACCAGCCTGGCCAACATGGTGAAACCCCATTTCTATTAAAAATACAAAAAATTAGCCAGGTGTGGTGGCACGCGACTGTAATCCAAGCTACTCTGGAGGCTGTGTCAGGAGAATAGCTTGAACCTGGGAGGCAGAGGTTGCAGTGAGCCGAGATCGCGCCATTGCACTCCAGCCTGGGGAACGAGCAAAACTCCGTCTCAGGAAAAAAAAAAAAAATTTAAATGGCTTATTGCATAGTATTTTCAAAATATTAATGGGAAATTTTTACTATGATAGGAGAATATGGGGCAGTGGAATTTGTCTGAAGTAACTGTTGAATGCACTAAGTCCTTCAACAACACAAAAGGAAATGCATGAGTACTGACATTTTGCTTAGCTACTTCTCTTTAATAGCTGTGGTTAGTGCTTACTGTTTGATACCCTGTAAAGGTGCGTATACGTAGAGAAAACGATTATTTCCTCAGTGACCACAAAGTGCCACTTGCCAACCAGATCAGTTTTTTTTTGTTTGTTTGAGACGGAGTTTTGCTCTTGCTGCCCAAGCTGGAGTGCAATGGCACGATCTCGGCTCACTGCAACCTCCGCCTCCCGGGTTCACGCGATTCTCCTGCCTCAGCCTCCCTAGTAGCTGGGATTACAGGCACCCGCCACCACGCCTAGCTATTTTTTTGTATTTTAAGTAGAGACGAGGTTTCACTATGTTGGCCAGGCTGGTCTCGAACTCCTGACCTCAGGCGATCCACCCGCCTCAGCCTCCCAAACTGCTGAAATTGCAGGCATGAGCCACCGCGCCCGGCAGATCAGTTTTTTAAGTGCACTGCTGGAGGTACACAGTATTTTGGACTGACTCATTGTAGCTTTGGAAATGTTTGGATTTTTAAATAGCTTTAAGCTTTCTTGACCAAAATTCCACTATAATGGCTTCTTAGATTTGGATGAAAACTCAGTAGCTTTATTTTTAAAAAGTTTGATAGCTTTATAAAAACTTTTTTAAAAAATTCGGGATATGAAAATCTTTGTTTGTAGTTAAGATTGACCCAAATAGGACTCTAGATTGGTGGATTCCAACAGAAATGTTTCATCAGAGATGATTATTAAATAATGGGATGGACTAAATAAAGAAGGTTCCCGAAAAAAAAAAATCTTGAACTAACCTTCCAGTAAACTAAGCAAATTCCACGAGCAATGTAAAAGTGACCATTTTTGAAGGTAGGAATTTAAATTGGGTTCAGATAACAAATAACAGGTTGTATACAATTTACCCATAATCCCCCTTCCCCGAAGCACTAGGCGGTGAAGTTAGGCTTCTGGATTCCAACTCCACGCTCCACCGCGCGGAACTATGCAATCTTGGGTTAGTTACCAGGTCTAAAGCTTCTAGATTCCAAATCCACGCTCCACCGCGCGGTAACTACACTATCTTGGGCTAGTTACCGGCTCTAAGACTTAATTTTGCCATCTGCAAGATGGAGATAACATCCAACTCCTGCTGTGTGAGGATAACGTGAATCCTTGTAGAATGTGGCTCAGTGACTGGGATATAGTAAGCGCTCCACGGCTACTGCTATCATAATGCCGTTAGTTTGCTCGTTCTCCTACATCTACCTACATCTATCTATCTCACCCAAGGCCCAGCGCTAAGCAGCGACCTCCAAGGTGGGACGCAGCCTTTACCCTCAGGGTCAGCGCCGGCTGGGAAGGCCGCGACCTAACTGGGAGATTACGAACAATGTCACCACGGCCAGAGCGCAGCTCCTGCCAAGTGAAGCAGCTCATGGAACCAACGGCGGCGAAGTCCGAATACCTACGCAACCCTATCCTAAAAGTGTTTTTAACCGTCTCAAGTCCTATAATTTAACAAAATAAAGTGAGACCGTAACTCTTGGCGCTGAGAAACTTTCTCAACAGGAAGAACGAATCAGGCGGAGCGCGCAGGCGTCTTCAATCGGTCCTGGGTCCGCCTCTTCCGCCCGGTGCGGGCGCCGATTGGTCCGCGTGGTCACATAAGAGACTGCGCATAGGCGCGAGAACCCCTTTCCTCAGCTGTCGCGAAGGTGCTCGGTCCTTCCGAGAAAGCTAAGGCCGCGTTGGAGTGAGGGCCTCACTTCATCCGGCGACTAGCACCGCGTCCGGCAGCGCCAGCCCCACACTTGCCCGCGCTATGGCCTCCGTCTCCGAGCTCGCCTGCATCTACTCGGCCCTCATTCTGCATGATGATGAGGTGACCGTCACGGTGAGTGCGGGCCCGGGTCG